GCCCGCGGCCGCCGCCGCCATTTCCAACCCCGCCGCCGCGGCCCCCGCTGCAGCAGAAGCAGCAGCAGCTGCTGCTGCTGCGGGCTCGCTCATCAACGCCAACAGGCAGCAGCAGCAGCAGCCGGGAACAGCGGCCCCGGTGCTCGTCGGGAGGCTGCAGCAGCAGCAGCAGGCAGCAGCAGCAGCGGCCCCCGGCAGCAGCGACGCCAAGGAGCTGCCGCAGGGAAGAGACAGAGACGCGCAGCAGCAGCAGCAGCAGCAGCAGAAGCTGCAAGGAGCTGTCGAGACACAGCAGGGCTTCCCAGTGGAGGGTCTGGGCACAGAGTCAGTGCTGCTGCTGCTGCTATTCCTGCTGCTGCTGCTGCTATTTCGTGTGCTGCTGCTGCTACTTCTGCTGCTGTTTTTCTGTTCCTGTTGATGCCGCCATCTCGGCTCCTTCGTTGGCCGCTGCTGCTGCTGGTGTTCCCGCTGCTGCTGCTGTTGCTGCTGCTGCTGCCGCTGCTGCTGCAGCTGCTGCTGCAGCTGCTGCTGCAGCTGCTGCTGCATGCGTTTTGTTGCTGCTGCGTTTCAGAAGCAACGAGGCAATGGCTGGTGCTGCTCTTTTTCCAGGAGCTTCTCCTTTTGCTTCTCTTCTTGAGCTGGCGGTGAGTTGCTTTTATTTAAATGCAATTTAATATTTTATTTATTTGTTTTTATTCATTTATTTATTTTATTTCCTCTCTTTTAATGCAACGCACTTTTGGCCATTCGCTGCTGCTGCTGCAGTTTGCTGCTGCTGCCGTTTGCTGCAGCTGCAGCGCGGGTGTCTGCTGCAGCGCCGGCGACGGCATCAGCAGCAGTTCCCTTGAATGCAAACAATAACAAATAATAAACATAAATAAATAAGTAAATAAATAATATTAATTAATTAATTAATTAATCAGTTTTGCATGCATGCATGCATGCAGTCTGTGGGCAAGTTCGGCGTTGGAGTCGACGGCTTCGCAGGGGTGGGGCCCTTTGGGGGGCCCCCCGGGTTCTTGGGGGCCCCCTCGGACAGCAGCGGGGTTCTGTCGCAGCTAATGGGGGCCCCCCAGCTTGCTGCTGCTTCTGGGGGCACTGCAGCAGCAGCAGCAAACAACGCTGCTGCGGTGGCTGCTGCAGCAGGCCTGGGGGGCGCTTTCCCGGGCGCGGGGGCCCCCGCGGGCACCCTGGGGCTGCTGCAGCTGCAGCAGCAGCCTGGCGCTGCTGC